GGCGGGGAGGAACCGACGCAGGGTCGGGGGACGGAAGGCCGAGCAGGCGAAGGGCGGACACCGGCGGGGACTGCTGCTGCGGCGGCACAACGGCGACACCTGGACCGCAAGCTGCTCCTCGGCTACCACCGGCACTCTCCACACCCGCACCCCCAGAGGGACCACCCGCAGGGCGACCGGGACGAGCACCCCCAAAGTCAGCGAACGGGGGCGGCGACGGCGGCGGCGGCGGCGGCAGCGGCGACGGCGACGGCTGCAGCGGCGGCAGGGGCGGCGGAGGAGGGGACTGGGGAGGGGACACCTGGGGAGGGGCGGCCGGCAAGGACTGCACCGGAGGGCCACCAGAGTCAGAAGACTCCTCAACCGGGTCCACGGACGGAAGGGGGGTGACGTGGGAGACACCAGAGGGGGCGGGACGGGGAGGAGGAGGAGGAGGGGCAGGGACTACCGGGAAAGGGGTGACCAGGAACAGGGGGGGGGTAACCGGGGGACCACGGTGGGGGAAGCAGCGGTAGTAGGAGACGGACTCGTCAAAGGTGACGTCACGAGAGTGAAAGAAGCGGTGAGACGGCGGGTGGTAAAAGTGCCAGTCGGACGCGTCAAGGGGAAAACCGAGGAAGACGCAGGGAAGAGTGCGGGCAGTGAGCTTGTCCGTGCCGGAGGCACGGACGTGAGCAAGGCAGCCCCAGACGTGGAACGCAGATGCGTCACCAGGAGACCCAGTCCACAGACGGGTCGGCGAAACCTGCGGCTGCTGAGGGTGCGGCCACAGGTTAAGCTGGTGAGAAGCGTAGCGCACAGCGAACGGCCACAGAAAATGGGGTGCATCGGCATGGACCATGGAGGTGCGAGCGACCTCCATGACCAAACCGATGCGTCGCTCAGCGACCCCATTCTGCTGTGGGGAGTCCGGTAGGGTGAACGTCTGGGTGATGCCCTCCGCACGACAAAAGCGACCAAGGACACCGGAGGCAAACTCGCCACCACGGTCTGAGTGAAGACGCAAGACAGGGAGACCGCGGTGGACACGCGCAGAGACAAGCCAGGGGATGAGGGCGCCAGGCACGTCGGCCTTGCGCTCCAGGGGAAAGACTGTGGTGTAACGAGTGAAGTCGTCGACAAGCACAAGGAAGTAGCGCTCGCGACGCGGCCCAGGGACGGGGGCGGGGCCCCAGACGTCCAGGTGCAGGGTCTGCAGCGGCGCGGCGGTAGGGGGGAACGAGGAGGAGTGAGGGGCACGGCGAAGCCGACCCTCGACACAAGGCGTGCAAGGTGGAGCTGGAGAGGAGGGAAACGCGGGGAGTGAACGTGGGAGACCAAGGACAAGACCGTGCTGGGACATGTGACGCAGACGCGGGAGCGCAGGGTGACCTAGGCGGTGGTGCCACAGGAGGGTCGGGTGAGTGAGGGAGCGACAGGAGCAGGCAGCAGCAACCTGGGTAGACACAGCCATCTGAGGGGGCGCTCCAGCCGGGGGGGGCACGGTGTCCAGAGTGAACAGGCCGGATACCGGGTCCCGGGGGAACGTGGACAGGGAACGTAGTGGTGACGCCAAGGTCCTGGAGGCAGCCGACACCAACTAGGTTCCTGGAGAACGAGGGGATATGCAGACCTGTAAGAGAGCCCGATGGAACCGCCGGACAGGGAAGGGTGGTGGAACTGCGGGCGACTACCGGACCGCCGGAGGGGTCAGCAAGAGAAACGGCAGCAGGAACAGGAAGCGGCGTCAGGGTGGTGGAGTCGCGGAAGAAACACCGAGAGGCGCCAGAGTCCAAGGTGAAGGAAAGCGAAGCCGAGGGGGCTGGCGACGGAACGACGGCAGAAGCACCAAGACTACACAAAGCAGGGGATCCTACGCCTGACGCAGCAGGGGAGGGTACACTAGGCACACCTACACTAGGCAACAGTGAATAATAAACCGGAAGCACACTAGAGTCATCAGCATACATCACATGCAGAGCAGAAACAATAGCATCCATGTCCATATCAAAGATCTGAATCTGTCGACTAAGCAAACTGTGCCAGTCCGGGAGGTCTGGCGACGGGCCGAAGCGCTGACGAAAGAGGTCGTCCAGGCGACGAAAACAGCGGGGAGTGGAGTGACCGATCTTACCGCAAACGAAGCCGCGGCGAGGACCGGTCTGGATCTGGTACTGACAACGCCCGCCGGCAGAGCCACCACGCGGCACACCACCACGCGCCCGTCCACCGCCAGCGCCGGGCCACCCTGGCGGGAGGACACTCGTCTGCCGCGTCTGCAACGGCTGCTGCGGCTGCTGCGAAGGCTGCGACTGCGGCGGCTGCTGCAACTGCAGGGGCCTTGACTCAGCTGGACTGGGCAGGGTCCCCTCGTCCGCTCCAGCACCAGGCGACCCGACGCCACCACTACCCCCGCCCGCACCCCCGCCGCCCCCTCCGCCGCGCCCAGCCTTGGGGCGGCGGCCCTTCCCAGAACGGGCCTGCGCTGCAGCAGCAGTCTCAGCCACTGCGGCAGAGCCGTCGGAGAAGGTGCACTGAGCGGGGGCACAACCCTGAAAGATAGGGACAGGCACGACACCGCTCGCCTGGGCGATGGAGCGGTGACGGGTCTCTATCACAGTCAGGGTGTCGACAAAGTCAGTGAGGGTGAGGTCTGCGGGGTGAACACTAAGGAAGCGGTCGCGGGCGACAGCAAGGCGGTCAGGGAGGCGGGTGGCAAGCAGGTAGAGGGTAGAGGTAATGGGCGGCTGGTGGGCTCTAAGCTGTGCGTCAGTGCAGGCGGCGCGCCAGGTCTCCTCTATCGAGCGCAGGTGGGCAGCGAGGTCAGAGACAGTGGGGAACGAAGCAAGGTCAGGAAAGAGCAGCGGGAGGATCAGGCGACCCACCGAGGCAGCCGGAGGGGTGGAATAGCGCTTGATGGCAGCATCTAAGTATGCCTGAGCAGTAGTGAGGGATCTAAAGCGAGGACGCTCGGACGGGGGGAGGGCGTTGCTAATGGCAAGCTGGGCGACAGCATCGCGAGAAAGCCAGACAGAGCGCGCACGGGCAGTGGCAGCAGTAGACTCACGCTCAGTGGGTGTGGGGTCAGCGGGCAGAATGGCAGGAGGGTCTGGGCAGGGGAGCGTACCGTCAAGATGTGCGGAAAGCGGTTCACCATCCTGCCGCTGGCCAGTGAGTTGGCGGCGGAGGTCGGCAAGCCACGCCTCGAACTCTAGGGGCTGACCTTCAGCGTCGAAGCGAAGCTCCGCCGCCATCAGGAACAGTCCAGTGCGGTGCAGGGCGGTGCAGTGCAGTGCAGTGCAGTACAGTGCGGTGCAGTGCGGTGCAGTGCGGTACAGTGCGGTGCAGGGCGGTCCAGTGCGGTGCAGTGAGGTGCAGTGCGGTGCAGTGCGGTGTAAGGCAGTACAGGGTGGTGCGTGGCGGTACGGTGCAGGGCTGTGCTGGGCAAGGTGGGGGGGAACCGTACCAGGGAGGAGGACGGGGCCGGGGCAGCGGGGCCGGGCAGGTGCTACCGGGCCGGGCGAGGACGCCGGGGCCGGGCTGGCGCGACGGGGCCGGGCGGGCGCGACAAGGCCGGGCTGGTGCGACAGGGCCGGGCCGGGGCGACTAGGCCAGGCGGGGGCGACAGGGCCGGGCCGGTGCGACGGCGCCGGGCGGGCGCGACAGGGCCGGGCTGATGCGACGGGGCCGGGCGGCTGCGACGGGGCCGGGCGAGCAGGACGGGGCCGAGCGTGGGCGACGGGGCCAGGCTGGTGCGACAGGACCGGGCGGGCGCAACGGGGGGCCCAGGAGGGGCGCTGTAGGGGCCCAGGAGGGGCGCGACAGGGCCCAGGAGGGGCGCTACGGGGCCCAGGAGGGGCGCGACGGGGCCTGGGAGGGGCGCGACGGGGCCTGGGAGGGACGCGACGGGGCCCAGGAGGGGCGCTACGGGGCCCAGGAGGGGCGCGACAGGTCCCAGGTGGGGCGCTACAGGGCCTGGGATGGGCGTGACGGGGCCCAGGAGGGGCGCTACGGGGCCCAGGAGGGGCGCGACGGGTCCCAGGAGGGGCGCTACAGGGCCTGGGAGGGGCGCGACGGGGCCCAGAGGGGCGCTACGGGGCCCAGGAAGGGCGCGACGGGTCCCAGGAGGGGCGCTACGGGGCCTGGGAGGGGCGCGACGGGACCCAGGAGGGGCGCGACGGGGTCTGGGAGGGGCGCGACAGAGCCCAGGAGGGGCGCTACAGGGCCCAGAGAGGGCGCGACGGGGCCCAGGAGGGTCGCTACGGGGCCCAGGAGGGACGCTACGGGGCCCAGGAGGGGCGCTACGGGGCCGAGGAGGGGCGCGACGGGGCCTGGAGGGGCGCGACGGGGCTAGGGGGTCGCGACGGGGCTAGGGGGGCGAGCGGAAGCGGCAGGTGGGGGGGGGGATCCTACCTACGCGTGATACCATATCAGAAATTGAAGTATTATTGATACAGAGAGAGTACACACAATATAGCTAAGTGTTGTACCCTCTAAGAGGCTACCCTATACAGTCTATACAAACATAACACATAGACATGTTTGACACGAACGTCATAGACCACCGATCCAGAGAACCTCTAGAAGGTGGCATAGCAACAAGAAAAGTAAAGTGGTCGTATATCAGATCTTTAGCAGCTGCCTCACGCAGATGACGATTGCTGCAGCTGCCTGACGTAGACGACAGTTGCTGCCTGACGGAGACGACAGTTACTGTAGCTGCCTGACGTAGACGACAGTTAGGTATAGGAGTATGAGTAGGCGTAGGATAAGGAGTAGTTGTAGGTACTCTTACCGCATCCTGCTGCTACGTTTCACCGTCTTGTCTCCTCTCATGCTAAAACCTTGCTAACTTGCTTTGAAGGCAGCTCATAGGGCTGCTTAGTTAAGCGAATTCGAATCAAAAGTGATATCAGAGCGCAAGAGTCTGCTGCTCTGTTGTCTTGCATGCCCACGTGATCTTGCATTGCGTGCCCATGTGATCTTGCATTGCGTGCCCACGTGATCTTGCATTGCATGCCCATATGACCTTGGATTACATGCCCACATGGCCTTGCATTACAGTAGAAACGCTAGGTGATACTCGATCACACATACAGTCTGTGCATACTCTTACACAGGTACCAGCTGCACGGTGTCTCTTATCACTCACACTGTTTAGGTCGACCAAAAAAACCACCTCCAGGTAGGAGCTGCACGGTGGTGCTTTTCAGTCATGGGATAAAATCCCTAGGTACTTCAACACGTGGGCCACACACACTCCGTGTGTCATACTGACTCATGCATGCACGTACACTAACACTCAAGGGCGACATGCATTGTCCTCGGAGTCTCTTGTAGGTATTGGAAGTGCGACTTCGAAACACGGTGTGTGTCTGGTGCACCAAACACAGGCGAGCACTCCATAGCCTTGTGTCACAAACGAAGCAGCTCTCAGAGCGAGCAGAGGCCGAACAAAGCAACGCATTGACGCCCCCCTGCTCTGCTCAGCCGCGCCCCCCATTGTGACAGAGGAAATGCCTCAGGCTTTCAGACCAACGAGGTCAAGTACAAGTAGTGGCAGATCCTTAACAGGTGTATGGGAGTAAGGGATAGGAACGACAGGAGTGAGAGAAGAGAGGGAGGAGGCAGAAGAGAGGGAAGAGAGGGAAGAGAGGGGAAGAGGGGGAAGAGAGGGACGATGAGCACGCGTCCAAAAGAGTGCCAGCATGAAGCTTGAGGTATGCCAGGATTAGGTGGACATGGGTGGGAACGGGGGGATATCAATGGCAGGGGCATGAACTGGGTGAGACATGGAGGGGGCGAGGGGGAAAACAGAAGGGGCATGAAATTGGTGGTAATAGGTGGGAATACAGGGGGTAGTAGGGGGGGGGGGGGGGAGAGATGAAACAGGCAGAACGTACTCTGGTTGAAAGTTGAAACGATCCTGACTTCAGGATGCCCCCTTGCCGTTACTCCGACTGCTGGTGTCACCGTCGCGCAGCCACAAGGTTCACTCAGTGGCCTTTGAGCCGACCTCACAGGCATCTCCACGCCGCCACAATGATCATTGGAACGCCCCGCCAGCTGAGCTGCATAGCCCCACCCTCCCCATGCACGCCCTGCCTGAATCTCCCGTCCCTGCCCTCCAATATCTCCCTGCCAGCGGCAACCGTGTCCGCCCCCAAGGGAACGGGCTCCAACCCCACCTCCCTCATCCTATGCACCTCTCGCCCATCGCCCGAGTCTCATCTCCAGGCGGCCACAAAGATCATTTGAACTCCGCGCCAGCTGAGCTGCAGTGCTCCCCCATGCATGTCCAGCCTGAACCTCCCGTCCCTCGCCTCCGTGATCTCCCTGCCAGGAGCAACCGTGTCCGCCCCTATGGCAACAGGCTCCAACCCCACCTCCCTAATCCGATGCACCCCTTAACCATCGCCTGAGTCTCATCTCCACGCCGCCACAAAGATCATCGGAACCCCGCGCCAGCTGAGCTGCAGGGCTCCACTCTCCCCATGCACGTCCAGCCTGAACCTGCCGTCCTTCGCCTCCGTGATCTCCCTGCCAGCAGCAACAGTATCCGCCCCTATGGCAACGGGCTCCAGCCCCATCTCCCTCATCCGATGCAGCCACTTCTCCAGGCGCTCCGATCGGAGCCATCGGTTCATGCCCTCGCAGGCCACCCCGTTCATCAGGTCGCGCGCCAGGATGGTCTCCGCCACAAAGCGTGGCGTGGCGGCATGCGGCATGGAGCAGTCGAAGGATTCGACGAACGCCGAGAAATTGGCGAACGCGGCTTGGAAGCGGGAGAGAAAAAAGGGGCCGTTGGCGTCCAAGTCAATGTCGATCTGGAGTAAGAGCAGCGGGTGCAAGTCTCGAATCCACCTAAGAACCGCGTTCCGGAGGTTGGATCGAAGCACAGTATCGTCTGGAAAGACCATGAGGCCCCAGTTGGCAAGGACCACCACCTCCTCCCCTTGGTCTACCTCCACTTGGGAAGGGTGGAAGTCGTGTGGGGTGGTTTCTATCCCGTGGAAGGAGAGGGAGAGGCCGAGCATAGATGCCACCTGCTCCAGGTACTCCCCCCCCAGATGCACCAGGCCCGTCGGATGCTCCTGCAGCTTGATGATCCCAAAATCAACAGCTGTCACTTTCACGTGGGGTGTGGAGCGAGACGGGGGAGGAATGACAGGAGGAGAGGGAGCGCCAGAGGGTGGTACGGTGGGTGGCGTGTTCCCAATGCTGCTGCTCGTGCTGCTGCTAGTGGTGGTGGTGGGGGAACCGCTGCTACCCCCCCCAGGTGCACCTGCTGTGGCGGCACCTGCTGTGGCAGCACCTGTGGGGGCACCTGGTGTGATGCCACTTGGCGCAAGGCCATTGGTGGAGGGGGAGGCGGAGGAGAAGTGGGCGGCGAGGCGCATGAGGATGTTGATCCAGTGGGGCCCGGCGTAGAAGCCGATCGCTATGATGTGCAGCCGCCGCCGCCGCACCGACCGGAACGCAGGTGCTGAGAACGGGGCTGGGGCAGGGGCTGAGAACGGTGCAGGCCGGTGGGGAGGAGCAGGAGGGTGCAGCAGACCGGGCTGAGTGGCAGGGAAACGGCTTTGAGCGGTGGCGTTGTGGGTGGGCCGGGCGTGTGGGTGTGGGGTTGGGGATGGGGGCGTGTGGCGGGTGAACGCTTGGAAAATCTCGTGCACAGCTGCAGTGTTGGCGAGGTGAATGAATGCCGGCACCCCATGGCTGTTGTCATGCCCCAACACCGCCATTGAATCCTGCTCACCATGCATGCCACCATGCCACAATGCCACCATGCAACATGCATGCCACCATGCAACATGCATGCCACCATGCCACAATGCCACCATGCAACATGCATGCCACCATGCCACAATGCCACCATGCAACATGCATGCCACCATGCAACATGCAGGGCCGTTGAGCAAGAAAGCAACGTGACTGAAGGGGAAAAACGAAATAGTTCCATATACATGAAGGGAAAAGGGAAAGAGTTCCATATACATGAAGGTACATCAACATAGTCACACAGAATTCCGAATCAGAAATACTGAGGCGGAGGAGGGTGGGTGGGCGGGCGGGGGTGTGTGTACTTGAGTGGATATGGCTACCTGAACGGTGATGTTCATGGGGTTGCGCCAGCGGCTGAGCGCAGACCCATCCATGCGTGCCTCCAGCGCCTCGAGCGCATGGAAGGCGATGCGCTGCAGCGTGTCCCCCTCTGCTGACGCCTCCCTCCGCAGCTTGCGCATGAAGTAGCGCCAGCGCACCTGGTGGGAGGACGGGCAGGGAACGAAGGGAGGGGGGGTGGGTGGTGGGGGAAGGGGCAAAAGATGCAGAGAGGGAGAGAGGTTCGTTATTGACGTCTCTCGCCACAGCTTGTGCATGGAGAACCACCAGCGCACCTGGTGAGCGAGCAGTGGTGGAGGGAGCAGCAATCAGACAGACAAGGGAAAGACTATCGAGGAGGAATGACCTGGCAGAATGGTGCGTGAGGAGTCTATTTTTGAGGAGCGTGGCAGAAATGGAGGAGCGTGGTGAAATAGACTCCTGTCGAGGAGGAATGACCTGGCAGAATGGTGCGTGAGGAGTCTATTTTTGAGGAGCGTGGCAGAAATGGAGGAGCGTGGTGAAATAGACTCCTGTCGAGGAGGAATGACCTGGCAGAACGGTGGCTAGAAATGAGCGTGGCAGTCTGTAGACCAGACTTTACATACACACCGGTGGCAATCGGCCCATACTCGCCGAGTCATCTACAGCATGGCCTCTGCCTGCCAGTGCCATGCGCTGCTGCTTCTTTTACATCAAGTCCTCCGAACCTTCTTTTGAGGGCCTTCACAAAAACAGCCCCACTCACCGAGTCATCAACAGCCAGGGCTTCTGCCAGCGCCATGAGCTGCTGCTTCAGCATGCCCTCCCGCGCCCCACTCATGGGCCGTGGCAGCATGCCCGATGCATCCACTCGCAGAGGCCTCTCAGGTCCCAACTGAGCCATGGGTTGGAGTAATAGTTGCCTGTGTGGTTGGTGTGACTGTACAGCTTTGAGCTGTGCCATCGTATCCTGCAACGCCTGCTGCACCACGCCCCACTCATGCTCACTCCGTGCTGCCGCTGGCGCCCCTGTCTGCCGCTGCTCCTGCTGATTCTGCTGCTGCTCAAAATTCTGCTGCTGCTCATAAGTCAGCTGCCCCGGTTGATTCTGCAGCTGCTGCTGATTCTGCCGCTGCTGATCTTCCTCACTGGCAAACGGCAGCGTTGCAGCAGGAGAAGCAGCTGGAGTGCGAGCAGCAGGCGACGCAGCAGTGCTAATCCCAGGCTTCGCTAGTGGGAAGGAGGGTCTGGGCGCAGGGGCAGAAGGTCTGGGCGCATGGGCGGAGGGCCCACGGGAGGAAGACACGGGGCGGGGAGGGTTGATATTGCGCAGCACAGCCGCGAGGCGGGAGGAGAGGTCGGGGGGCCGAGGCAGCTTAGATGGGGGGGGAGTGGAGGGAGGGTCGGCGGACGGCCCTCTGATGCCGCCTACCCCCATCTCGCCGCCACGGGAGGAGGAGAGGCGTTGGGAGGATGAGGAAAGGGCACGGAAGGTGGAGGGGAGACGCGCGTCAGAGGGAATGTTCAACTGCGGGACTCCCTGCTTCTGCTGCTGCTGCTGCTGAACCGGATAATGATATCGCGCCTGCTGCTGCGCCTCCTGCCGCGGCAGCAGCTGCTGCGGGCTTAGTGATTTCTGAAGCGGCATCTGAGCGGGCAGCTGAGGCGGCAGCTGGGCTGGCAGCTGAGGCGGCAGCTGAGGTCTGTACCCGGACGGATTCTGAAGCGGCGCTGGCGCTGTGGCCGTGAACAGCCGCTGCGAAGCTTCCTCGAACGTCAGCACCTGCGAACGGGAACCGTCCGGTTGCAATGTGTGCCAGACGGATGATGACGTGGCAGCGAACCCATGCTGTTGCGCAGAGTCGACATCCTGAGGTTGATCACAACGCCATGGCGACGGACAAGCCTGCTCAGGTACTTTTGGGTCTAAATTGCTCGTTTCAAAAACGTTCCCTGCGTACGGAATCTCTATCTGGCCTTCATTGGACGCCGCTGGATCAGTACTGCTATCATGGCGCATGCTCGACTCCCACAAATCCGCGAGGCTCGATAGGTCCGCACTCTCCTGTTCACCGATCCCATTTTTCAACGCCTCGCATGATTCTCGTAGGTGAGCAGCGCCGTCGATCTGATTCGATCTCTCCGTCTCCCGACCAGGGTCATGATCCAATCTCGGTCCTGGGCTAACTCCGACTTGTTCACCGGGAGCATCGCTTATCGGGGCGTCGCCTAGATAACCAACGGGCATAGGAGCATCGTCGCCTTTAAGATCGTCGCATATTGGAGCATTGTCGCCTATCAGGTCAGAGAGCAACGCATCTAGAGGAAGTAACGGTGAATCCGGCGGTATGGGTTGAGTCTGCGAGTGAGGATCATCGCTGGAGGGAGGGATGTCAGGCAGAACGGCATCGTCGAACGACAGCCAGTGCTCAATGTCCACTGGCGCCACGTCATCAGCGACGAACACCGTGATTGGCTCGCCGTTCATGTCTACGTGACAGAAACGAGAGCAGCGGCATGTAAAGCGGAGAGGAGAAGGGAAGCAGCAGGGGCTATGTCATTGGCAAGCAGACAAGATGATCATTAGGCTGCAAGATTCACGCCATGAAGTGAAGGATGAGGTAGGGGAACTGGCGTGGAGAATGCCAGCAAGTTGCGTTATCTCCGAGAATTGTACAGTAATTATAGCTGGGAATTTCAAATCTAGGCTCGCCGTTTTGAAGGTCCATCCGCGATACAGTAATTTATCGCGACTTCCCTGCGGTGTATTGCTCATTGCGGTGGTTGCGTGTTCGATACGCGTCCTATGTCACTCCGAATTCCACCTAGGTTTCCATTTCACTCCAATCCCTTTATCACAGATCTCCTCTGCCATTCCATGGCTTCCTTTCAGTTCTTGCAGACAGCGACACTGAAACTGCAGCACACGCTATCCGACCGGATGCCCGTACTTCCTAGTCCCACCATCGCTCACTTTTTAGCGTAGGGTGAATGGCTTGCAGGCATGACACCAGTCGTGCACCCGAAGCGGCCTGATCCACTGCTAGCGGATCTAGTAGACCTTGGGCTCGTCAGCTTCAGAAGAATCGTAGACTAAGTTATTCTCAAGCCGAGACTGTGTCTCACAAGCACAAGGACATAAGAACTCAGTACAGCAATAGCACGGTTACCAATGGCGGAAAAAGGTCCAAGCACGCCCATTACTCTTGTTGACCTTGGTACGGTTGACCTAGACGACTTGCTGGCGATATCTGACGAATGGTCCGCGAAGCCTGGCGAACAGCGGGCGAAATCTGACGACATCGTGAGACCTTACGAGTGGTCGGCGAAATCTAGGTCAGCTAATGCGACCCTCTATCCCAACGATACTGTCAGTGATTCCCAGGACGATGTTCTTGCAGCCGTCTTGGCAGGCTTCGATGCGGCTCAATGCCACCCTGACAGCGACAGTCGCGACAACCGTGAAGGGGCTAATGAAACGGTTCTTGGAGCGTTGCACCCGATGAGAAAGGATCTGCAAAACGGTGCAGGTGACGGTGATATTGGTGCTGGTGATCATTTTGGATCGGATCTCAATGGCGTGTCAGATGCCAATCTCACCAGCAATGGCTTTTCAGGTGTTCGTTCAGGTTACCATTCAGGCAACGATAGGGGAGTTTCCTCTGGGGTCCATGCTCTATCCGAGCAGCCATTCTTGAATCAGCCTTGCTCCTTCGAGCAAGCTTCCCGAATGCTCTTCACTGCCACAGCACCCGCTGTTCTGCAAACAGGCATGCTGCAACGGCCTCCCTCGGGTATGTCTATAGAGAGTACAGCTGGTTTTTCACACTTGTGGTTAGTGGATGCGTTGGGACGACAGGAGAGGGCGCAGCAGCTGGTGCAGCAGGTGCCTAGCAGCAATAGCAACAGAGTAATGGCCGAAATTCAGCAAGCGCAGCAGCAGCAACAGCAGGATTCGTTGCAGCAGGAGCAGGGATTATGGCAGCCGCAGCAGCAGCAGCAGCAGGAGGAGGAGGAGGATGAGCAGGAGCAGCAGGAGCAAGAGCAGCACTGGCAGTGAGAGAATCCTCGCTTCAGCTCTACAACAACGCAACACAAGGAAGTTGCAATATTCAGCTCTCAATCCATGGCGGACGCTCAGAAGGCAGAGAACACGGGCGTCCAGCAAGTTCTTATCAACATCCGAGCAACGCCCTCTCAATCCCTCTTACCCTCTCCACCCGCCAAGCTCCCTCGCCGGCTCTCTCACCCCCATTCCCATTCCCACTCTCGTTCCCCCCTCCTACATCCAGTTACATCGCCTTATCCCCACGCCAACGCTCCATCCTTGCAGGGACGCTTTTCACATCCATCTAGCTTCGCCTCCCGCCCTCCTGACCTTTCCCCCCGCCCTCCTAACCTCTCTTCCCGCCCTCCTGACCTCTCCTCCCGCCTCGCTGCGGCTCTCAACAATGCAGCTCAGCATCGCTCTGCGCCAAGCCTTGCCGCCCGGCTGAAAGCTGTTCTTAAGTCAACACAAGTCAAGGGCAGTCAAGGCAAGCAGTCTCGAATGGAAGATAGGTGTGAGAAGGAGGGATCCTCCCCTTCTCTCATCTCTGCTACGAGGGACCCGCGGAGAGAGCAAGGGGGGGCGAGCATTCTCGAGCGGGGGAGAGCGGGGGAGGCGTGTGTGGGATGGCAAGCCGTCAAGGGCGTGTTTACACCGGGGTTGATTGAGATGCTGCTGACAGAAGCACAGCGCAGGCTGCTGCTACAGCACTCAATGAGTCGGCCAATGAGGAGCCTCCAAGTGGACACGTCGGGCTTCCTGCCACCACCAGTGGATGGGTTGAGGCAGAAGCGGCTGAATGCGCAGCTCATGGCGCTGGCTGAAGCCATGGCCACTCAGGACACTGTGAGTCCTGGTGTCACTGTGAGTGCTCGTGTCAGTACTTGTGACAGTGTGAGCGGTCGTGTCAGTGTAAGTGCTTGTGATAGTGGCTATGGGTTTTGGACTACTGTTTCTGATGATTCAGCTGATTATCATGTTTCCCCGAGTCCATCCCGGTCGGGCTATATTGCATTTGAAGCTCGTCAATGCCGGTGCCAATTCACGCAGTCCGTGAAGCCAGATGATTTCTTCAACTTGTGGCCTGATCAGGTGCGCTGGTGCTACTTGATGCGCGGGCTTCTCGTTTCCCGTCTCTCTTTCATGCCTTGGCTGATTTAAAATCTGAATCCCTGCTCTCCCACCAGGTGACTTTTGAGTCGACTCAAAAGTTGCTTTTCATTTCACCAGTCTCTCTTTCATGCCTTAGCTGTCTCAAACTCCGAACCCCTGCACTCTCACCAGCTGCGCTCGCGCTACTTCATGCGCAAGCTGCGGCGAGAGGCTTCAGCGGAGGGAGACACATTGCAGCGCATCGTCTTCCATGCCCTTGCTGCCCTGGATGCTCGATCCGACGGCTCTGCTGTCGCCAAGTGGAGACAACCGCTGCAAGCCCCTCTGGAGGTGAGTCACAAATCACCCAGTCTGTCATTTCTGTGCCTCGTCTTTTGTGCCTTTTTGGGGTGTCCTGATACTCGTCTTCTTCATTTCGGCTACTGCACTGCCCTGGCCTCTGTGTTGTGGTTGCACATGGCATGGCATGGCATGGCGTGGCATGGCATGGCATGGCATGGCATGGCATGGCATGGCATGGCGTGGCGTGGCGTGGCATGGCATGGCATGGCGTGGCGTGGCGTGGCATGGCATGGCGTGGCGTGGCATGGCATGGCGTGGCGTGGCATGGCATGGCGTGGCATGGCGTGGCATGGCATGGCGTGGCAGGAGGTGATGAAGATGATCGGCCATGCCAGCCAGTATGGCGCTCCTCTCTTGATCGAGTTCACCTATATCGCAGCCGTCCATGAGATCGCACGTGCTCTCATCCATGCATCACCACCGTCAGACTTGTTGCCTAAACCTCCGCAGCAGCATGATGATCAGCACTCACACCAGCACCAGCAGCACCAACAGCAGCAGCAGCAGCAGCAGCGCCACCAAGAACAGCGGCCGCAGCTGCAGCGGCGGCGCTTTCACATCATATCACTTGGCTTCCATGCCGCCCCTCACTGGGTCAACCTCTTCATGCGCCTCGCCGCCCATTTCTCCTCCTCCCCCACCCCCTCCCACCCCCACCATCCCATCCCCTCCCCGGATTCCACCACCCCACCCATCCACCACACACCCCCTTCTCCTCCTCTGATGCCTCATGTCCGCATCACAGGGGTGGACTTCGGTACACTGCGGTTCAAAGAGGCGCCGTCAGGCACTGTGCCTGTGGTTGGGGAGTATCTGGGGCAGGTGGCATCCAGGCTGGGGTTGCCCTTCTCCTTCCACGGCGTGCAGACCACACCGGAGGAGTTCAGTCCGGGGATGGTGAGGGTGGAGCAAGGGGAGGAGGTGGTGGTGATGGCAACCATGAGCCTCATGCTGTTTCCAGATGATTCAGTGCTCCGATCCAATCCACGCCATGCCTTGCTCAAGGTCAGAGAGACACCTCGTTGTTTTGTTGCTCTGCGCTTTTTGTTCTAAAACGAATTGTTTTTCTACCTTCGTGCCTCTCTGCCGCTTTTATATGCAGTGGATCAAGAGCCTCAATCCAGTTACGGTGCTACACGTGGGGTTGGATGTGGACACCAATGGTCCCTTCTTCCTGGCACGAGTGCGCGAGAAAATAACCAAATTTTCAGCGTTCCTAGAGTCGTTGGATTGCAGCATGCCGCACTCGGCTCCCACGCGAGCTGCCTGCGAGGAGTTTTTTGCAAGGGACCTGATGAACAGCATTGCGTGTGAGGGCACCAACCGGTGGTTCAGGTCGGAGCGTCTGAGCCAATGGCAAGAACGAATGGAGAGGATGGGGTTTGAATCAGTGCCTGTAGGCACGGAGACGCTTGTTGCGGTGAGGCAGATAACGGAAGGCAGAGACAAGAGGTTTAAGGTGGAATTAGACAGTAGAAGTGGAGCAGCTGTGCTTTCATGGCATGGCTTGCCGATCATATTTGTTGCCGGGTGGAGGTAATGAGTGTGATGTGACTATATAAAATGGGAGAATTCTTGAACACATGTTCTGGTAGAGCAGGAGTGCCAGCGTGCAAAGTTGAGTTGCGAATTTTATGCTCAGCTTCCCTCCTCATCATAGAGACCTCCTGCGTTATCTACTAAAGAGGTAATTCTTGAGAGGAAATTCAATTCACTGTACATAGCCTACGTATGATGCTGCATCCGCGCTACAAGAATTTGCAGCGATTGCGTGTTCGAGACGCATCCCGTCCCATTCTGAATAACATGAGCGATTCCATCCAGGTTCCCTTGGGTTTATTCTGATCACCTTATCTCAGGCCTCAACTTCAACTGACAGTGCCAATCCATGGCTTCCCTTCAGTTGTTACGGACAGCGACACTGAAACTGCAGCACATGCTACCCTGCGTCTCTCACCTCAGCGTGCGCAGCATGGACACGTGCAGTGCAGCGCAAATGTAAAATACATGAGAAAGCTCTCGAATATCGGGCTTCGATGCATTGGGAATGCCGCCTCGTGTCCTGTCCCATAGTCGTGTTCTCGTAAAGGTGAAGGCCTTGCTGGCTTGAGAGACCAGTTGTGCACTAGGATCTGAGCGAGATGTTCGTGCTCGGATTTCCCTGATCCGCAATATCCCTGGGCTCGTCAGCTCCGGAGGGCAGATAGGTCGTAGTCTTGTTATTTTCAAGGCAAAACCGCTTTTTGCAAGTACAGGACGTAGGAACGGGTGCAGCAAGAGCACGGTTAACAATGGCGGAGAAACGTCCGAGCCAGGCCCCTAGATTGCAGGAAAATTTTCCTGATTCAGGAAAAAAACAGACCCCGTTGGCGGGCCGGTCCTGATTGCGTAGGGTTTTTTTTGTTCGGCATCCTGTTTTTTCAGCGGTTTTTTTGTAGTGAACTCTGATCACTCCGCATGGTTTATGTAACGCGTCCTGAAATTTCTGACACTCTAATGCGTACGCGTCCTGATTTTGTCAATACCGGGATTTGCGCTCCCCGCTCTCCCCCCCCCCCCCCCCCCCTTCCCCCCACGTGTTTCCCTCAAATCATGTCAAGGTCCCTGAAATTTCGCCCAAGTTACCGACCAGCCGAGTCATATGCTGCCCAGCTCACTGCACGGTGACAACTGATTGGCTTAGGGCGGAACCTACAGCACAGCTGTATACTGAAGGCATCGATGTTGCACGATCTGATTGGTGCTAAGGCAAATGTGGTATCGTCAGCCAGTAACAAAGCCTACCGTTGCGCCAGCACACTGGTGCTGTCATGCAGAGCGGGTGACAATGAAGCAACAGATGCATGCATTGCGCTGGCCTCTCGAATGAAGGCCAGATGCAGCCCCATTGTCGTCTCTCCATTCGAGTCGAATCGCGCCCCCCTTTCTTGTCGAGGTCATTCTTACGTTGGGGCAAAATTGCCCCTCTCACTGACTCGTTGCCTAGCTTTCTTCTCAGTCTCACCTGTCGTGCAAGAAGCCCTCCATCGTCTCTCTCACGTTGATCGCTCTACTGCCCCCCACGTCGCCATGGCTGACGCCGGCGACGAGGCTCCTGAGGACGATGCTGACGGCCATGTCGCAGCTATGGCCGATGCTCGATCAGGGCTAGACATGCTACTGTCTAGCCTGTCTTCGCTACGCAGCAATCCTAGGGCAGTAGAGGCCCGTGTAGCACCCACCACCATCAATGGAAGAGCGGGCATCCTTACGATGCCCGCAGTCAGAAATACCCCACCCGCAGTAGCGCGACTGCAGCCGATCCACCCAGCGAGCGCTTCCTCCCCAGAGGCTGTGCAAGCAATGCCACCTGGCTGCTGGAGTCTTCCCGTTCCGGTTCATGCTGCAGAAATTTCGGTACCTGGTCCGTCGACGTTCCAACCCGCAGACAGCGCCTCTCCAGCGGCTGTCCCGCCAAAGTCTGCCGCGCGTGTGAGTCGAGACAGCACAGTCCCCGTTGCCGAATCCCCGCCCCCAGCTGTACCCGGGCCGTCGTCTACTCAGCCCGCTTACGACTCCTCTCCTGCGTCTGTCTCTCAGCGGCCTTGTGGGCGCTACCGGCAGGCTGTTCTGCCATTTGGTCAGCCCAAAGTGAAACAGCCATCACCGCCCGATGAAGAAGCTGCCGACGCCGACGATGTTGACGACACCCCAAACAGGTCGTCGACCAAGACAACGAGTTCTGAGGAGCAGTATGCGGAGGCTCACAGCAGGTTTAAGACCCGTTGGTCGACGCGATTCCCGTGGCTTGTCATTTTAAAGACTGACTCTGGCTTGCCTGCCTTTAAGTGCACCCTATGCTTGGAGCACGCAGGTCTTTCTGGGAAGGCTGGCAAGCGTGGCCCAGGCCTATGCGATGCTCAGACTCAGGCGTTCACACGGCATGCGGGGTCCGGCAAGCACCAACTCGCTCTGCAGAAGCAGAACGATCTGCTGCAACAGGCAACCAGACAACAACGCATCGATCAACATCCCCTTGCCGGGGACCTTGAGAGGGAGCGCGTCACTGCCCTGCTGGACGCCTTGTGGTTCTGCTGCAAGACTAACGAGCCGGCCGAGACATGGATCCGGCTCGTTCAGTACCTGGCGTCGCGGAAGGTGACGGGTTTCCCGCAGCAGGCCTACGGCACGTACTACAACACGTGAGTATACAATCATCACCGCTTAGCTACGGACTTCATTCTGTTAATGCCCTCTATGTTCTCTGATTATTTAGACCCTCCGAATGGTGCGCATCTTAGGTTGCACGTCGTACTTACAGTGTGTGTTAGTCCATGTGAACCGTGCAGGTACGGATTCGGCGAATTCACACTAGCAACGGCAACCTGGCTCCAAACAACGCAGCTTCACCACCTTCTGTCGAGTCCTTACATCGGCCTCATGCTGGACGAGAGCACCGACCGCTGCCGAGGGAAGCACTTGATTGTGTACGCCCACTTCATCCGTGACAACCGGCTGGTGTGCGAGTACCTGGCCTTGCTGACGGTGGACAAAGCCGATGCGTCTTCACTGCTCGCCCTACTGCTTACCCACCTGAACGCCATTGGGGTGGATCTCCAGCGAGTCTCCGGGATCAGCACTGATGGGGCGGCTGTCATGATGGGGTCGAAGAGTGGGCTTGTTACTCGACTGCGCCAGCAAGTGCCTCACCTTGTGTCGTGTCACTGTATTGCGCATAGGTAAGATATGTCATCCTGAGTACAAGAGTTAATGCCGTCTTCAACTTTGCTTGCAATATGCTAATGTATTGGTTTCACGTTTTGTCATGCAGGGAGGCTTTGGCAGCCAAGGCAGCATCAGAGGCGCTTCCGGTGTTTCAAATTGTGGATGACTTCATCAAGGAGCTGGCGGAGTACTTCGGAAGATCCGGCCCGTGGCACCAGCGCTTTCTCGACTTGCAAGACCTGTTCCTCTCGACAACCTTGGAGCTCCAGGGTATTCACAACATTCGATGGTTGTCGAGAGGTGAGGCAATCTCGAGGTTGCTGGCGGTGTTGCCTGCGCTTGTGGTTATGCTCAAAGAGTTCCCCGACAACAGGCTCTACAGAATTGCGACCAGTTACCGCTTCTGGTTCTTCGTCCACTTCCTTGCTGACGTCCTCGAGCAGCTCAACATCCTCAACAAGGGCTTTCAGGAGCGCGAGGTGAGATAACAATTGCATTAGCGTGGTGGTATACTTGCGGACGTCACTTTATATTGTTGTCCTACCTTGCTTGCCCCCGACCTTCCCCCATCCCCCCATCAGCTGGACTACCTGACCGTCCACGCGTCCGTCCTTCGCATCACCAGCCTGTTCCTGAGCCGCTACGTCGATTGCGGGGATGAGTTCGGGGGTGGCCCGAAGGACCGTCTCACCAACTTCCTCACCCTTCATGGTCCTGGCGGTTCTCGCGAGGTCACTGTCAGTGGCGTGGACTCCGACGGGAGTCTCACGAGCTTCACATTTGAGCTTCACGTTGACACGCTGCAAGGGTACCCTGGGGGAGGGAAGCATGACAACTGCGTGGTGGCTTGCATGGACCTGGCGGAAGGGATGGTGAATAATCTGAACGAGCGCCTCGGGGATCTTCGCAAGCTGGCGGGGGTAAAGCTGTTCTGCGTTTCTGCCTGGCCGAAGGACTGGGATCGGCATGCGAGGAGGGTGCAGTGCTTGGAATGGTTCCACTCTTTGGTGGGGCTGTACAACGCGGAGCAGAGGAACGAGATCCTTCCAGGTGAACTCGTTACCATTAAACACACCGACATGTACCATTGTACAACTGAGACTGTTGCACATGTGTTGTCTCTTTCTCTCAGTTGACTGTCTCCACCATAACCTTACACCACTCCCCCGACCTCTTTTCCCGTCTGTGGCAGGCATCGACAAGCGCCAAGCACTGCGGGAGTTGCCACACTTCACCCCGATCCTTGCTGCACTTCCGAAGAGCGAAAAAAGCTTCCACGCTGGCCTCACTGCGATGCTGAAGACAGCAGACTGGCAAGATGCCTACCCCAACCTCATGAAGCTGTGGGTGGCAGTGGCCGTGCTTCCGCTGAGCACGGTGGAATGTGAGCGGGGATTCTCAAGACAGAATGTCATCAAGTCGTGGCTGCGGGGCAGCCTGAAGGACACACGGCTGAGCGATCTCATGTGCATCAGTCTGCTCGATTATGAGCCAAACTGGGACGAGGTGGTGGATGTGTGGCTGGCATACAAAAAGAGAAAGCCTTTCAGTACCGTGGCACAACCTAGGCTGCTCAGGTATAAGGGAAAGGAGGTGGTGGAGGAGGGACCTGTAGAAGTGTCGTCGACCATGGATTTTGCCATGGATGAATGAGATGCTTTATAAGTCTTAAATATGAATCATTGCTGGATCCGCTTTAACTACGTATTGCAAGCTTTGATGTGTGATATGATGTGATGTGATGTGATCTTCCAATGCAAAAAGCACCACGGTCATGCAGGACCCTAAATGTAAGGAACCCTGAAAAAACAGGCATCTTTTCAAAAGCTGTCCTGACTCATAAGCTTGGTTTCCACTAGGCGTCCTGAAAATACAGGCAAAAAACGAGCGCCACCCCTGAGTCATCAGGAGGCCTCAAAACCAATCTAGGGGCCTGGTCCGAGCACGCCGATTAATCTAGTTGACTTGGGCACGGCTGACCTCGACGACTTGCTGGCGAAATCTGACAAATGGTCCGCGAGGTTAAACTCGTTGAGCGATTACCCTGAGGGCTAGGCAGATGCGGCAGTGGCAGAAACCTCCCGCGCTTGCAGCGCCATGGGCGAATCGAGGATGTTAATCATGCGCGATCATCTAACGGCTGAAATTTGTCGAAACGTTCGCGATTGATCGTGGCCGTCAAAGTTTGATGGACTTTCAGTTGACCACACGGGCAATAAGAAAAGTTTCCTTAAGGAGGGGGCATTGTCGCTAGTACAATATTGATGACTTGACCGTTAGCCTTTTTTATGGGTTGTGGGAGTGTGGGAGGGGGGACTTGTGTACAATAGGACTTAGTCGATTTTTTTTTTGGTGCTGTCACTGCCTATCAAGACTTAGCTTATTTTTGTGGGTTGTTAGGTGTGTAGGGGGGGTGTCTGTACGACACATGACTTAGCCGAATTTTGTGGGTTGCTTGGTGTGTGAGGGAATGTTTGAGGACGTCACCAAATTTTGTAGGTTGTTGTGTGCGGGGGGGGAATGTCTCTGGAGATTGGGGACTTCGCCTAAATTTCAGCGTTGTGAGCCACATGGATGTCACACTCAGGGTTTGTACACGATCCTTCTTGAAAACTCAGTATTGGCACAACGCAAACCCTGAAATCCCAAGTGTTCAAAAACTAGCAACCCTGAAAGAGCTAGGGTTAAAAAAATCCCAGCCCTGAAAAATAAGGGTTGGCAAAAAAAATACCCTGTGAAATCAAGGAATAAGGGTAAAATACCCTGATAACGACAGCTCTCCTTGGAATCGTTGGATTGCAGCCTGTCGCACTCGGCTCCCACTCGAGCTGCTTGCAAGGAGTTTTTTGCAAGGGACCTGATGAACAGAATTGCATGCGAGGGCACCAACCGGTGGTTCATGTCGGAGCGTTTGAGCCAATGACAAGAACGGGTGGAGAGGCTGGGGTTTGTGTTAAAATTATATAAGTTACATATAAATGATAGACTTGATAGTTGTTACTGAACCTTTCTGTAGAGGGTACATTCCCCTCCTTGTACCTCTCTCTCTTCCTGATCGAGACCCTTCTTTCTCGACATTCTCTTCAGCTCCTAGATCTATTTTCCTCACGCCATTCCATGACGCCATTCCTTGTATTCTAGCTAAGTTAGCGTCCTAAGTTTAAAGAGGCTAGATTCATTATGTTCTAAGATGGTATTAGAGCGGGTCGTTCCACCGGGCCCGCTCCCTACGCTTCCGCCGTGCATTTCCCTTGTTGCCGGGCCGCCGTCGCGGCCATGCGTAAACGTCGTCGTGGTTCTGCCGTCGCAGCCCCAGCGCGTAACGTCCACGCCGCACCTCAGCGCCGGCGTCGTGCTGTCAGCACAGCGTCGACGTCCCGCCGTGGCATCGACGCCGCACTGTGGCGACGTCATAATGCCGCGGCGGCGGCGTCTTCGGACTGTAGCCGGCCGCACAACGCCCGTGACTTCACTCGACCAGCCGCCCGCTCACCAGTGACGGGCGTCACTCAGGACACCGTCCTCCCGCCAGTAAGCACCGTGCCAGCGATGGCGCCGCGCTGAAGATCAGAAGCCCCGCCCCTTCCCCCTCTCCTCCTCTTCGCCACAGCCGCCGACTGACTCTCGCCGGCCGTCCCCCTGTCGCGGAGTTTGGACACGCCGCCGGAAGGGCGGGGGCCGCTACACTCACCACCGTTGTAAGCCGAAGCCGTCGCTGTCGTCGCCGCAGGCCTTTTTGCCGCCGTACGCCCGTCGTCGCCGCCGCTGTCGTTGCGGCCGGGATTGCCGCCTTCGCCATCTCCAAGGCCTTGTCGGCCCGGTTGGAGTCGTTGTGGCTGATGGGAATGGGGGTGCTAGGTTAGGGGGTGTGGGGGTGTGTGTGGGCTTGTGATTACCAAGCCTAGGGGGTGTGTTAAAATTATATAAGTTATATATATTGATAGGCTTGATAGTTGTTACTGAACCTTACTGTGGAGGGTACATTCCTCTCCTTGTACCTCTCTCTCTTCCTAATCGAGACCCTTCTTTCTCGACATTCTCTTCAGCTCCTAGATCTATTTTCCTCATGCCATTCCATGGCGCCATTCCTTGTATTCTAGCTAAGTTAGCGTCCTAAGTTTAAGAGGCTAGATTCATTCAGTTCTAAGTGTTTGAACCAGTGCCTGTAGGCACGGAGACGCTGCTTGCAGTGAGGGAGATAACGGAAGACAGATCAAGAGGGTTATGGTAGAATTAGACAGTAAAATTGGAGCAGATGTGCTGTCATGGCATTGCATGCCGATTATCTTTGTTGCCGGATGGAAGTAGTGACGTGAGTGTGACCATACACATGAAATAATTTTTAAACACATGTTTAGGTATGTGGCTAGTCTCGTGTTTTTGCAGAAATTCGAGTCGAGGCATCTCGCGTATTCCAGATTGAGCTCGGGCGGGACATGGGCAGATTTTCTCCGTGGCAACCATGAATCTCCAGCGGTGTGAAAGGTGCGTAGCAGGGCTTCAGATTGGTTTTTTAGCCCCTCGTCAAAACTGGGTTCCCTACCGAAGCCACCCGCGAAAAGTCGTACTCGTCAAAGTGCCAAATCCCTCGAAGCTTACGTTTACAGCCCGCTTTCGAGCCAGAATCGTCCCCTCGACCCCTGGGATCAGGGACAAACAGAATCCGTCAAAAGGGAGTTCAGGTCTAAGTCTACCCGTAAAACATAGGCCTGGTGCGTAGGGCAGCAGTGGCAGCATTTCGAATCTCGGCAAGGCAGCGGCGCTAACCGGTGTGAAAAAGCACATCACAATCCACCAATACGGTCAGTGGAAATCACGTTCGGCGCGGCAAAAAATGGCGCGTCCTCCCACAACAAGATCTTCAGTGCCACAGCTCTTCCAGAGAAAATATTATTTCACTGCCGGTCACTTTGAACTCATTTTACAAACCCGAATTAGGGCAGTGTACTGGACTACATTGTCCAACCACAACGACCACGTCTTTTTTATTTTTTATTTTTTCAAATTCCGCTCATGCTACTGTATAAGGGTAATCATTGTTGCTGGTTGAGAAGTGTCAAGATTATTGAAGGCTGCCAGTTGGTCGTAGTGCTGCCCTGCTCTGCCATGTGTTTCATGCCTTGCTTTGCCCTCTCCCTCTCGGCGGGAAAGTCTGCTGAACTGAAGACCATTTGCAGCCAGCAGCAATGGGGTGGCATGAGATGGGAGGCATAACACGACGGGACGGGTCACAAAGATGGAAATTGCTAGGGGAGATACACTCAAACCTTGTTAGTATCAAGCTTGTTTGTCAAGGCAGTTGCGTTTCTTTTTAGCGGAATGTGATTGTAGCTGACTTTGCGTGGAACCGACCGCCGGAGGTATTTCCCGAGCACCCGAATCAGGAGTGGTGTACAACTCTGGAGTGACAAGTGTTTGGCCCCACTGAGAGGGTAACCGATAAGGAGATTTTAAACACCGGAAGGGGAGCAACAGCCAAAAAGACCCTCGCAGTGAACCGAATGTTGTTCCTGTACCGTCGTGAGCACGTGACGAGTTCCCTGATTCCTTCAACTCACAGATGCTCAGGTGACGCTGTGGGATGTGTTGAAGTTCGTTTGGAGAACCTGGGGCAGTTCGAAGGGGCTGGCTCAACCTCTTCACGTTTGTGTTTTTTCCCACACTAAGCCATATTTGGTCCAGAGCAATGTGAAAATCCATTTCACAATGTGATAAGAAGCTGATCTGGGCCATGACTGTATCCGCTTTTTGATGCTATGTGATTTAAGACAAACGAGGTTTGGGGTGTATATAAGGTGCAGACTGCTGCGCCAACAGCAGCCGAGCTGAGCAACATTGACCAAATTCGCGTCTGACGCTTCTTCCACATTCCTCCGTGTTCTCTGGGCTACTGGCTGGTTTCCTTTCTCGCCCCTAGTCCAAATGGGATTGCAACGCAGTGGAGCGGAGGCCCCACAGCAACGGCCCCCCATGCTTGACTGTTGTCGTCGCGGTTTGGTCAGGGAGGACAGGAATAGCGGGGCTTCTATTGGTGCAACCTGTAGTACCTGCTCCCATATTGCTGCTGTTCCCACTGCACAGTCTGCATTTGACGATGTCGCGTAGCGTGGCTGATCAGCAGCCGCTCATTTGCCCAGTCTCTTAGAACGTGCGTTCGTTCTGCCGTAAGTCGCGTTTAAGTCCTGCCGGCGACCATGCTGCTCATCGCAGCGAATCTGTGGTGCCCAGAGTGATCGCGGAGGGCCTTCGCGTACTAGCTCGGTCTCACGTCCAGACGAGACTTCTTGCGAGGAGATTCGAGAGAATCTCTCAATTTCGTCGCACGCTTCCCCTGCAGTTGTTGGCTTTTCCCAGCGCAATCTGCGTTTTTAGGGTACGTTTGTGGTCAGATTCGCTCCGCGTAACGCGCATATGCGTCGCGCTCGTTAATAACCCCAGTGAGCCCACTAAGCGTATGGAGTATCATCAGTCAGCGGGCTGTAATCACCATCCCGTCGCCACGCGTTCCGGCTACGTGGCGTTCATCGAGAGGCTCCTTCCCCCCTGTCCCTGCGGCTGCGGCTCGCACGAGTCGTGCCCAGCTGCGATAGTAGCCTCCGCTCCTCCCGCCGCATTAGACGCTCATGCCGCCGCTCCGCTGCCGACTAAGGCTCCAGCGGGCCACCTGCCGTGGCAAGCTACTAGTAGGCAGTCGGAGCCGACGCCTATTCCCTCCCAGAGCCCGCAAGGGCCGCGTTTGGCGGCGATACCGCGCACCGTCAGCTTCGATAGCACGTCCGCCATGGCAGCTGCGACCGGCCGCGGCGCGACCGGCGCAGGCGGCGCAGCTCGCCGAGTGGATCTGATGGCTCTGCTGGAATCTTGGGAGAAGGAGCTCGGAACGTCGTCGGATGAGGATGCCGCAGAGGGGCGCAGGATTCCCCGCTACGGCGCGGGAAAGCCGCGCGGGGAACGCTTTCCGGCGGATCGGTTTACCAGGTTCTCGTCGTTCAACGGCTCTTCCAGCGCCGCGAGGGCATGCGCGGAAGGATCCGCGGAGGGGGTCCCGGAAGGGTCGGCGGAGCGGAACGAGAGTGTGGCGCAGGGGAGCGCCACGGCGGCGGCGGCGGCGGAGGTGGCGGTGGCGACGACGTGGAATCACAGCAGAGTGGGGCGAATCACCAAATGGCGGAATGCCGCAGATGACGGCGCTCCGACGAAGCCAGCCGACGGCGGACTCTCCAGATCCTTCCAAGAACGTGCGTTTCGGCGGCAGGCCTCGTTCGTGGAGCCGTCACGCGCTGCAAATAGGCCGCAACCGTGCGTCGCGACTAGTAACGGGTCACCGGAGCACGCTTTTGTCGCGTACATTGCTCGAGAGCGGTCCAGCCTGGAGGTTCTCGAAGACGCCGCGTCGCATTTCTGCGGCGCCGCGCACCGCTCGCGCTCCGGCGAAGATCCGGCAGCGAGTAGCGAGTCTGCTTATACCGGAGCAAACGAGAGCCGAAACGTCCTCCGAGCGGCGTCCGACGAGACGAGAATGTCAGAAGGTTTCGCGGAAGCAGCGCAGCCACTAGATCCGCCGGAGGAAGTGAGCCGCGCGCTGGCGGTGCTGTCGCAGTGGCGCGCCAAGACGCTCGGCGGGCGACTTGAGAGCGGGAGACAGCAAGGCAGCAACACCAAGTCGGCGCGGTCCGCCGGCCCACCGGATATGGTTGCTTCCGCCGCTTCCGGCGCGTGTTCCGCTGGTTCCGCGGGTTCGGCTGCGATCTCCGCAGTGCTGCCTCTCTCGTCCGCCCCTTCGCCTCCCGCCAGCCCTTCCGCCCTCCCGCGCTCCCCCACCTTTCCCCCTTGCAATGGGTCCCCCGGTTCCCCGCCTTCCGACTCCTCCCCCTCCCGCACCTCCTCCACCTCCTCCGCCGCCGTCCCCATCGCGGCGCCCGTTTCCGATGCCACGTCAGCAGCCGCCACCGCACTTGCCATCATGCCAATCATGTCGAGGCACGTGCATGCGCTCGGGCTGGTGGGCGGGCAGAGGGGGATGGGCGGACAAGCTCCGCGCAACGCGCGCGCGGATGGCGCAGATGGCGGGAGGTTGTCCACTGGCGGGGAGGGGGAGAAGGGCGGTGATTGCGCCAATCGCAACGGTGGGGATCCGGCCAGTAGAAGCCTTGGCAGGGGCTGGGGGAGCGGGGGGGAGTGCGACGAGGGGCAGGCGGGGAGGATCGGGGGACTTGGCGCCGGCGCCGGCGCAGGCGCGGGAACGGGGGCGAGTGCGGGGTTGGTTCCCCCCCGAAGCCACGTGCAGGCGCTGTTGGAGGACGCGCGGAGCCGGCGCGAGGCGTATCTGCGCATCCGAAGCCGCAGCGCGTCGATGTCCCTCTCCCCCTTTACATTCGCCACGCATACAGTTACTCCCCCGCACGACCCTCCCCCCGCTACTGTCACGCCCGTTCCAGTCACATCCCGGGCTCATACTTTCTCGCGCCTCGACATTCCGCTATCGCCGCACTACCTTTCTTCCACCTCCCCCTCCCCCTCGCCTTCCCCCTCCCCGTCCCTTCCCCCGCCGCTCGCGCTTTACGCGGGCGCGAATTCTCCCCCGCTCTCCCTGGCGCACATTCAAATGCTGTCGCACGCGCGCGGAAGCCCGCCCGAGAAGGCGGGTGGAGATGGGGAAGGCGCAGAAGGCGGATCAGCGGGGGAAGCGGGAGGAGCGGATTTGGGTTCCGCGCAATCCCACCGCCACATCTCCGTAGCGGGTTGCATTGCGGCGGCCTCCATGGGCGCAGCAGGCGGAGGGTTGGGCGCAGCAGGCGGAGGGTTAGGCGCAGCAGGCGGAGGGTTGGGCGCAGCAGGTGGAGCGGAGGCGGTACAGGCGTGGCGGCATGGAGAAGGGCAGGCGCAGGCGCAGAGGCGCAGTGGCATGCCGCCCCTGTCCCCGCGGTCGTCCGCGCCCTCGGGGGTCACTCTGTTCGGCGCGAGGGGCGCAGGTGGCAGCCGCGTGGGCGGCAGCGCAATGGGCAGCAGTGCAATGGACGGCAACGAGATGGACAAACTCGGTGCAGGTTCACGGGTGGCGCAAAAGCCCGACGCAGCGCGCACTCTCTTCGCCTCCCCCTCCTCCACTTCCCCCCCTTCCCCCTCCGCCTCCCCCTCCCCCCGCGCGCCCCTTCCTGGCGGCGCTTCTCTTCCGCGCATCCCCATCAGCCCGCCCGTCTCCGCGGGTAGCCCGCGCTGCCTCAGCGGCGACGCAAGCAGCATCTTCAGCGTCAGCGGCAAAGGCGGCGGCAGCAACAGCAGCATAAGAGTAAGCAGCAGCAATGGCGGCATCACGAGCAGCGTCAGCAGCGGCGCCATCAGTGGCAGCAGCAGCAGCGAGTCGCAGCAGCCATCCCTCATTCCTGTGAGCCGCAGCTTCGACCTCAGCGCCATTCGCGTCCGCGGCAGCAGGGACAGCAGCAGCGGAGGCAGTGGGGAGGAGGGCAGCGGGAGAGGCGCAGGGGCTGGCCCAGGTGGCGCGGGGGTGAGGGGGAAGCAGCGGGGAGGGGGGAGCAGGGAGCCGGTTAAGAGCGTGTCGTGGGAGGGCAGGGAGGGCACGGAGGGGAGGGAGGGGAGGGAGGGGAGGGAGGGGAGGGAGGGCAGGGAGGGGAGGGAGGGGAGGGAGGGGAGGGAGGGGAGGGAGGGGAGGGAGGGGAGGGAGGGCAGGGAGGGGAGGGAGCAGCAAGGGGAGGCGTGGCAGCGGCAGCAGAGGATCGGCAGGCGCTCAGTGGTCTTCTCACCCGACGTCGCCCATGCTGCTTCCCATAGTGCTTCTTATGGCGCCCCCCATGGCAGGGACGAGAGGTCGTCTCACTCGGCTGTCAAGCAGAGCTTCTCCGGCCCGCTGCCCCTGTCGCACCCACCACCCACACCAGTCTCACCTCCATCCGTCTCCCCTCCCCCCCCGTCGCCACACTCCTCGTTCTCCGGCCCCCTCTCCTCCTCACCCTTCTCCGGCCCTCTGCCTGTGTCGCACCTACCAGTCTCACCTGCCCCCCCGCCGCCTCACTCCTCGTTCTCCGGCCCTCTTTCCTCCTCGCTCCCCTCCGCCTCGCCCCTCACCCGCGGATTCACGCGGGCGTCTCTCAAGCGCTCGCCCTCCCCCCGGGCGGCCCACGAGTCAACGCAGTCAACGCAGAAGGCGCCTTCCCCCAAGATGGGGTTTGAGTGGGGGCAGAAGGCGCCTTCCCCTCGAGTGAGAGGCGGAGGAGCAGCCACAGGTAAGGCCGGGCCTGCTGCCAGCAGCCCTCCCAGCAGCAGCAGCAGCAGCGTTGGCTGTGGCGCTGGCAGCATGGCAAGCAGCAGTGCAGGCATCAGCGGCAGCCGCACCACTGGCACCGCTGGCACTGGTCGCTTCCCGTCAAGCCGGTCGGTGGATGCAGGCCCTGCTAATGCTGCTGCTGCTGCCGGTACGCGCGCACGCAAGCTAGTGAAGGGCGGCAGCGCCAGGGAACGCGGGCTGGAGCGCATTGGGGAGAGAGAGGAGGAGTGGGCTTCAGCGTCAGCAGCCGTGGCAGCTGTGGCAGCAACAGGTGCAGCAGCCATGGCAGGAGCAGCAGCAGGGGTAGGAAGGCTAACAGAAGCGGGATGTGAGCATGTGAATCGGTCGGTGCGGATCCCTGCTGCCATGAGAATTCCTCCAGCCATCCTCGTTCCCTCTCCCTCCTCTTCCTCCCCTTCCATCTCCTCCCTCTCCTCCTCCCTTCCCTCCTCTTCCTCCTCGCTCTCCCTCTCCTCCCTCTCCCTCTCCCTCTCCTCCTCCCCTTGCCCCACCGGCCAATCCCCCATGGTGCCCTCGACTACGTCCACTCTCCGCTGCCCCCCTGTCCCCTCTCCCCTCTCCCCCACTCCGCCCTCACTCGACCTCCCCCCCTTGCCCCCATCCTCGCCACACGACCCCTCCTCCTCCTGCTCCGTACCCTCCTCTCCTGCTTCTTCCCGTCTCCATGCTCACGGGAGCATGGACCCGTCTCAGACACCACCTGAAACAGCACCTGAAGCTTCCGGTGTTGTTACCAGCAGCAGCAGCAGTGTCCGCAGCAGCTCTGACCCCCACGCTGCTGCTGCTAGCAGTCTCAAAAGCAGCGCCTCCTTGCTAAAGCGACCCGCCACTCCGTACCCTGCTCCAGCCGCCACTACTGAGCCTGCCGCAGCTGCCGAGCCTGCACCAGCTGCCCTCACCGAGCCTGCTGCGGAGGTTCGGGGAAGAGCCGCGGGGCACAGCGAGCCCATGAAGCGGGTGGTTCGGGGAGGTAAGGATGGCTCGGCGCCATGCAACGGCCAGGCTTCCCTCTCAGGCTCCTTTCCTGCTGTTGCATCCTCTCGAGGGGGTGCCTCTCAAGGGGATGCCTCTCAAGGGGGTGGCCTCCGCTCCCTCTCTCCGCCCTCTGCCCTCCGTGTCTCAGCCGCTGCCAATGCCCGGCATGGTGGCACTACTCACGATGCTCGTGACGGTGACAACGCCAAGGGTACGCGCAGTAGGCGTGGTGGGTTGGGGCATCAAAGGGAGCCTGGTGAGACGAGAGTCGGTGAGGTGAGGGCTGCTGCGGTGAAGGGAAGTGAGTTTTCCTCTGGGGAAGAGGAGATAGTGTCCAGCCCTGCCTCGTCTGCTGCCTACTCCCCCTCCTCCTCCCCTTGCTCCTCCTCCACTCCCTCTTCTTCCTGTTCTAGCTTTATTGAGGCGAACACCAGTGGTACCAGCAGCAGCGGCATCAGCGGCAGTTGCAGCGATGGTCAGGCAGAGATCGCAGAGAAGGCGCGTTCGAGAGGAAGGCAAGGTGAGAAGTGGGGCCTGAAACAGCTGCCACAGCAGGAGCATGGGGAGAAGCAGAACCACCAACACCAGCAGCAGCAGCAGCAGCAGCAGCAGCAGGAGGGGGAGGAGGAGGAGGAATTGAAGGCAGGCATGGAAGCCGCAAGGCGGTACGTGCTGCGACGGCCGTATTCCAACGTGCATGCCGCTTACAACATGGACGAGGAGGGGGGCGTGGTCGCAGTGTTGTGTGATGGGCAGGGAAGCATTTCTCAGTTGGGAGTGATCACACGGGCCTGTATGTGCCGGCGGACCAAGCGGCAGTACGAGTGCCGCACGGCGCGCAAGGACCTGCTGAGGAGTGCCGCAGCGGTGGAGGCGGTGGGGCGGGAGGTGGCGATGATGGAGATAGTGCGGGGCGCGCCGCATGTCGTCGTCATGCAACGGGCGTTTGAGGACCCGGAGGTGGGTGCTTAAGTGGGTGTTTAGGTGAGCTTTGAAAAATGACAAGTGGCGACGTGACGCACTTGCTAGTGACACTCACTAGTGTCTCCTACTGTGCTCATGCCAACCTCTTTTACTGTGCTAGTAACATGACTCCCTCCCTCACATGCAGAGGTCTCCATTCCCGTGCACCTTACCCCCCCCCCTCCCCTCTCCCCTCCCCCCCCACCAGGCTATCCACATGGTCATGGAGCATTGCGCTGGGGGCAGCCTCTCTGACCACCTGGCCGCCTGCCGGACCTACCCCGAGCCTGACGCCGCGGCTGTGGTTCGGCAGGTGGCGGTGGCTCTGGCGGCGTGCCACGAGATGGGCGTGCTGCACCGGGGGGTGAGGGCCGAGAGCGTGCTGCTGGCGTCTGAGGGGAGCCACGTGGATGTGAGGCTTGCTGGGTTTGAAGATGCCACCTTCTTTGAGCCGGGTAAGCTGGGTGCCTGCTGCATCTTGGCTGGGTGCCTGCTGTATCTTGCCTGGGTGCGTGGTGTAACTTGCCTGGGGTTCTTCCCCTGCAGCAAATCCCATTGCTGATCTCACTCTCCTCATCTAACCGTTTACTCAGCAAATATCAAAGAGCAGTCTTGTTGTTTGTCCCATGCCTGCTTCCTCCTCCCCTCCCATGCTCTTGCTATGAAACAGTCCGTCTCATCCCCAGCTCCTCCCCAGCTCACCCCCAGCTCATCCTCTCTCATCCTCCACCCCAATGCCCATGCATGTGCCTGTATCAGGTCGCCCGCACACGGACCCAGTGGGCGCGCCAGCGTACATGGCCCCAGAGATGATCCAGGGGCAATACGGCCCCGAGGCCGACGTGTGGAGTCTGGGCGTGCTGCTGCACCTGCTGCTCTCAGCCCACCTGCCCTTCTCCGCCCACTCCCCCGCCGCCCTCCTCTCCTCCATCCTCCACGACCCCATCTCCATACTCGGTACAACTACCAACTGTGCACAGCGTTTTGGGGAGTTGCCGCCCGGTGCTGTGCCGCCCAGTGGAGGGGTGCCTGGTGAGCTTGTGGCAAGGGGCCCATCGTCAGCTGCGTCTTCACCGGGGTCAGCGGTGTCCCAGTGCTCCTCGTTCACAGGTGCCCCAATGGCTCAGACATCCCCGGCAGGCCAAGGAGCATTTGAGCTAGTCAGTGGTGAGTCGGCATCACATGCCCTTGGAGGAGTGCCGGGAACAGCCACTGCTGGACAGGACGTGACTGATGGAGTCTCTGAGGTGGAGGGTTTACTTGGGGAGGGTGTGTGCCAGGTGTTGCTATCTGAATCTGCACTTGATCTGCTGCGGCGTATGCTCGAGAAGGACCCTAGGAAGCGCATTGAGCTTGAGCAGGTTCTTCAACACCCGTGGATTCAAGAGTAGTGCAGTATAGAGACGACAAGTTAATGTATTGTTGACGCCCATTCTTTGAATTATATATCAGAAAGAGTAATGAACTAGAATGTGTGAGTACAAGGGTATATAGACTAGGGTGTTGTACCCTCTAAGGCACAATCCAGTATAGTCTTCAGTAACGACCTAAGTTACATTTGACACACCCCCTAGACTATATAGGGGCAGTGCCTAACAGCGAAACAAGCGGCTCAGGGCAGCACTACTAGTCCAGCCTCTGAGGCAAGGGTCTAAAGACCAGTCAAAGGAGTACAGACAAGACAAGAGCAAGACCAGGGCGGCACTACTAGTCCAGCCACTGGGAGAGGCCACAAGGCCAGTCAGGGTAAAATATATATGTAAAGGACAGTACAAAGTCAAGGCCCTAGCAAGTGAGAGGCTACAGGAACGAGACCTAGCTGTACACAGTGCCACTGATGATCTTTAGGCGCAAGCGCCTTCGTAAAGATATCAGCTGTGTTGGCACCGGAACCCAAGTGTACTACGCGCGCCTGGCGGCGCTGCTAGAGCTCACGCGGGGGGCACCATTGGCGGCCTCGATACAGACAGCGTACCGCTCGTGTCCAAGGAACGTAGTGGTGACGCCAAGGTCCTGAATGCAGCTGACACCAACTAGGTTCCTGGAGAACGAGGGGATGTGCAGTCCTGTGAGCGAGCCCGAAGGAACCGCCAGGTAGGGGAGGGTGGTGGAACTGCGGGCGACTACTGGGCCGGAGGAGGGGTCAGCAAGAGAGACTGCGACAGGGACAGGAAGCGGTGTCAACGTGGTGGAGTCACGGAAGAAGCACCGGGAAGCGCCAGAGTCGAGGGTGAAGGAGAGCGCGGCAGTGGCGACCGGAGGCGAAGCAGCGACGGAAGCACCAAGGCTAAACAAAGCTGGGGATCCTACGCCTGACGCAGCAGGGGAGTCTAAGCAAGGCACACCTATACTAGGCAACAAGGGGTAATAAGACGGAAGCACACTAGAGTCATCAGCATACATCACATGCAGAGCAGTAACAACCTCATCCATATCCAGATCAAAAATCTGAACCCTACGACAAAGCAAACTGTGCCAGTCTGGGAGCTCGGGCGACGGGCCGACGCTGACGAAACAGGTCATCCAGGCGACGGAAACAGCGGATGGAGGTGTGACCGATCTTACCGCAAACGAAGCCACGGCGAGGACCGGTCTGGAGCAGGTACTGATAGCGCGCGTCACCCGAACCACCACCCAGCACCCCACCACGCGCACCACCACCACGTCCAGCGCTACCACCAGCGCCAAGCCACCCAGGCGGGAGACCACTCGCCCGTCTCTGCTGCGGCTGCGGCTGCTGCGGCTACTACGACTGCTGCGACTGCTGCGGCTGACGCGAGTCCGGTTGCAACGCCGGTGGCTGCTGAGACAGCTGCTTGGCTGCACCTGACAGGGTCCCCTCGTCCGCACCACAACCAGAAGACCTAGCTCCAGCACCACCTACACCTGCACCCCCACCCCCGCCGCCATGCCCAGCCTTGGGGTGGCGACCCTTTCCCGGACGGACCTGTGCTGCAGCGGCAGTCTCAGCCACAGCAACAGAACCGTCAGAGAAGGTGCACTGAGCGGGGGCGCAACCCTGAAAGATAGGGACCGGCACAGTACTGCTGGTCTGAGCGATAGAGCGGTGGCGGGCCTCTATAGCGGACAGGGTGTCAACAAAGTCAGTGAGGGTGAGGTCTGCGGGGTGGACGCTAAGGAAGTGGTCACGGGCAGTGGCAAGACGGTCAGGGAGGCGGGTGGCTAGCAGGTAGAGAGTAGAGGTGAGGGGCGGCTGGTGGGCTAGAAGCTGTGTGGGAGTGCAGGCAGCACGCCAGGTCTCGTCTATAATGTGCAGGTGAACGGCCAGGTCGGCGACAGTGGGGAACAACGCAAGGTTAGGGAAGAGCATGGGGAGGATCAGACGATCGACCGAGGCACTAGGCGGGGTGGAATAGCGCTGGACAATAGCATCTAGGAAAGCCTGGGCAGTGGTGATAGACCTGAAGCGAGGTCGCTCGGATAGGGGGAGGGCATTGCTAATGACAAGCTGTGCAACAGCGTCACGAGACAGCCAAACAGAGCGAGCAAGGGCAGTGGCCACAGCGGACTCACGCTCAGCGGACGAGGGATCAGTAGACAGTGCAGTGGGGGGGTCAGGGCAGGGGAGAGTACCATCAAGATGGACAGACAGAGAGTGGCCATCCTGCCGCTGACCAGCGAGGTGGCGACGGAGGTCAGCAAGCCACGCATCAAACTCAATCGGCTGGCCCTCAGCGTCAAAGCGAAGCACCTCCGCCATCAGTGACAATAGAGGGCACTGGAGAGCAGTACAGTGCGGGGCAGTGCGGTGCAGTGCGGTGCAGTGCGGTGCAATGCAGTGCGGTGCAGTGTGGTACAGTGCGGTGCAGTGCGGTGTAGTGCGGTGCAGTGCGGTGCGGTGCGATGACGTGCGGTGCAGTGCGGTACAGTGCGGTGCAATATGGTACAGTGCGGTGCAGTGCGATACAGTGCGGTGCAGTGCAGTGCAGTGCGGTACAGCGCGGTGCAGTGCGGTGCAAGGCGGTCTAGTACGGTACCGGGGGGGTTCGCAGGGCAGTGCTGATCGGGAGGAACGGGCTGAACCTGAGGCGGCGGCGGGCTGGCGACGACGCGAATGCAGGAGCCGGCCGGCGGACGGCAGACGCGAGGGGCCAGCAAGCGGCGGCAACGGGGGCCGTCTGGGTAGGGGAGAGTACCATTAAGATGGACAGACAGAGAGTGGCCATCCTGCCGTTGACCAGTGAGGTGGCGACGGAGGTCAGCAAGCCATGCATCAAACTCAATCCGCTAGCCCTCAGCGTCAAAGCGAAGCACCTCCGCCATCAGTGACAATAGAGGGCAGTGGAGAGCAGTACAGTGCGGCGCAGTGTGGTACAGTGCGGTGCAGTGCGGTGCAATGCAGTGCGGTGCAGTGTGGTATAGTGCGGTGCAGTGCGGCGTAGTGTGCTACAGTGCGGTGCGGTGCGATGCAGTGTGGTGCAGTGCGGTACAGTGCGGTGCAGTACGGTGCAGTGCGGTGCAAGGCGGTCTAGTACGGTACCGGGGAGGTTCGCAGGGCAGTGCTGATCGGGAGGAACGGGCCGGACCCGAGGCGGCGGCGGGCTGGCGACGATGCGAATGCAGGAGCCGGCCGGCGGACGGCAGACACGAGGGGCCAGCAAACGGCGGCAACGGGGGCCGGCGAGGAGCTGGCGCGACGGCGAGTAGGGCCAGCCACGACGGTGAGGAGACACGGCTGCGACGGCGGCCAGGGACAGCCGCGACGGCGGCTAGGGGCAGCCGCGACGGCAGGAGTGACCGTGAGGCGGCTGGAGACGGCAGCGACAGCAGCTAGGGGTGGCCGCGACGGCGAGGGGGCGGCCGTGAGACGGCTAGGGGCGGCCGTGGGACAGCAGGAAACGGGCGCGACGGCCAGCGGAAGGGGGGGGGGGGCGGGGGGGGGCGGCTAGGGACGAGCGCGACGGCCAGGGGGCTGGCTAGGGACGGGCGCAATGGCCAAGGGGCCGGCTAGGGGCGGACGCGACGGCCAGGGGGGCCGGCTAGGGACGGGCGCGACGGCCAGGGGGCCGGCTAGGGACGAGCGCAACGGCCAGGGGGCCGGCTAGGGACGAGCGCGACGGCCAGGGGGCCGGCTAGGGGTGGACGCGACGGCCTGGGGGCCGGCTAGGGGCGGGCGCGATGGCCAGGGGCCCGACTAGGGGCGGACGCGACGGCCAGGGGGCCGGCTAGGGACGGACGCGACGGCCAGGGGGCCGGCTAGGGGCGGACGCGACGGCCAAGGGGCCGGCGAGGGACGGGCGCGACGGCCAAGGGGCTGGCTAGGGGCGGACGCGACGGCCAGGGGGGCGGCTAGGAATGGGCGCGACGGCCAAGGGGCCGGCTAGGGGCGGACGCGACGGCCAGGGGGCCGGCTAGGGGCGGACGCGACGGCCAGGGGGCCGGCCAGGGACGGACGCGACGGCCAGGGGGCCGGCTAGGGGCGGACGCGATGGCCAGGGGGCCAGTTAGGGACGAGCGCGACGGCCAGGAGGGCCGGCTAGGAGCGGGGCACGACGGTGGCTAGGGCCTAGGGGGCGGAAGCGTGGGCGGGCTAGGGGGGGAACCTAACCTACTATGATACCATATCAGAAAGAATAATAAACTAGAATGTGTGAGTACAAGGGTATATAGACTAGGGTGTTGTACCCTCTAAGGCACAATCCAGTATAGTCTACAGTAACGACCCATTTGACATTATATGGTTTGTTATTTTCAGCATGTTAGCGCAAAAGTTGGTTTCATCTGAAGTTGCTTAGAATAGTGAGGACTTAGCATATGCCAATTCACTTTCCACTTGTACACATGATACAATAGAGCTTGTTGTCTTTCACTACCTTAGTCGCCCTGCTTATTGTCGCCTCGTGAGGAAATCTGTATCGAGATCAGAAGCAATGACTGTGGCAATCCAACAATCCACCAATCAAAACACAGTCGAAGATTTTTAGCGAAGGGAATGCAGACTAATGCGAAGTCTTATCCAAACTCGCTTAGCAAGTTTTGCCAACCAGTGGTGTCCTAATACAGCACGTCGGATTGGGCCCGCGATCCCCTTGTTATCGGTAGTCACTCTCAGAGTAAAAAGTTGAATAGAATGAGGCATACATGCTAGTTTTGTTCAAATGGTTGTACCCTCTAAGAGCATGCACCTATCTAGTCTATTATAACATATACAAATATGTTTGACACACCCCCTAGGCCAGATGAGGGGCAGTGCCTGGAAGACAACACACAGCTCACGGTGGACCTGCTAGTCCAGCCTCTGAAGCAAGGGTCCGAAGACCAGTCAACAAGAGTACAAACAAGACAAGAACAAACCAGGGCGGCACTACTAGTCCGACCACTGGAAGAGAAGCCGCAAGGCCAGTCAGAAAGGTATATATAAAGAGAAGTACACAATCAAGGTCCTAGCAAGTGAGTAGCTACAGGAACTAGACCAAGCTCCAAACTGTGCCGCTGATGATCTTTAGGCGCA